AGAATTTTTGATATAATACTGAAAATGTCCTTTGATGTACCGTTGTCTTCTCCTTTTTAGAGAAGCCAAGTCAGCCTCCCGGCTGGGCTTATGGACGGAAAGGTAACAACACTAATGGAGCAAACTTCAAGAAAAATATTCCTGTCTTTTACATCTTAAAAAATTTCAGAAACTTTAAAATTTAAAATCCATATCTCTACCACTATTTCTTTCTCTCTCTCTCTCTTGCTGTAAAGCTGTTCTCTTTCATCCCACAACAAATTTCTCTAATTTTTTGCAAATCTCTCTCTCTCTACACATCACTGTTGAAGTTAGCTAGGTGGAGACCAAACTATATCGAGAATGAGGAACTTGTAAGAAATCGTCACGGTGAAAGATTGAGGCTAAAGATTTCTCTCATTTCTTTCAATACGACTCACAGAGCATGTGTTTTGCAACAATGTTGCAATGGTTAGGCTTGTTGAATGAACAGTCAATTGTGTGATAGAACTCTTTTTTCTGCTCAAAAAATGAGTAACAAATTGTACAACACTTTAAACATTTAGAACATTTTTGTTTCAAGTATTAGATTTGGGTGGTATTGGAAATGATATTCATTCTACTCCTATCCAATGGGATACTATATACGGTCTTAAATTGTTATCTCATATTTTTTCTTGTTTGTTTGTTCAATAGGTATTATAGTGGGTCTCACAAATAACCATTTATTTTATCACATTTTATATAACAAATATATCATTTTACCTGTAACATCTTCCATTTCATTACTTTGTTTGTGATGCTTTTGCATAATGTTTGGTATAATAAATAATCTAATGTTATGAATCAGTGATACCGTAAAAAAAATTAAAAAAAAAATCGGCAATACTATACCCTTAAACATAATATAAGGAAAAAATTTAGAATATTTTTTTAAAAAAATTAAAAAAAAAAAAACAGTTAACATCGTACGCTTAAATATAATATAAGAAAAAAATTCAAAATAATTTTGATGACACTGTAAGCTTACTAATTTCATACGGATGAATTAGTTGATACAGATGTACTCTAGTTTAAAGAGAAAAAAACTCGTTGACGTAGATGAAGAGAGTAAACCAGAGAATAGAGCAGAAGTGTGGTGTGCGTGCTACGTGGAAATGGAGTAAACAATTTCAATGCATTCTTTAACAATTTATTTTTATAATTTGAAATAGTAATGATGAAGGCTTCAAGACTCTGCACACTTGGGCTGGCAGATGTCTTCTCACTTTGGAGAGTTAACTTCTGTTAAGGCTAGTTGTTGACATGGCCTTTTCTGACAAAGGGATGAAGTGGCACTTTTTCATTGGTTTTGTACTCCACGTAGGCCTGCCACGTGGTATTTATAACCCATGCAAAAACTTTTACAATCCTAATTTCAGATGGTCCAAGTTGTAGCCGCCATTTTTTTTTCTGAAAAGATAAAAACAATGGCGGCCTTGGACCATGTTCAGCTGTGCTTATCTTTCTTATTTTCGGTTGGAGATTTTTGCTTTTTTGTTTTATTTTAATCTTCTCTATCCTCTCTCTCACACACCCCCGCAAAATTTTCTCTTCTTTTTACTCCTTTGTCAACACACTCGTACAAAATTTTCTATTCTCTCTCTCTCTAGCCAACCACGCAACCTACCCAACCTAATAATAAGGTGTAATGCTATATTGATTAAATTTTATGATCAAATTTAAAGATCAAATAACATGATAATTAATTATTTATAATTTTTATTGGGACCTAAATAACATAGTACTAATTAAAAAAATATAAATCAATTGTCCCAAATTTTAATCGGTCTAACGTTACTGACTAACAAGCGTCATTAAATGACACAAGAAGGAACGCGGATGGAAGGAACCTACACGACCCCAGCTTCCATTCCCTATAAATTCACTTCCCTTTGTTCAAGCCCACATATCTCTCTCTCCCACTTATCTCTCCCCCCCCCCCTCTCTCTCTCTCTCACAGCTAGCATTTGCAAGTACAGAAATGGGAAAGAAGCTCGAGGTGGAGGAATTGCAGAACAAGGAACATGAAGCAACTATGAAGAAGAAGGTAGGCCAAAAAGTCCCAGTCCCTCCTGTTAGAGGAAGCATTAAGAGTCAAATCTTTGCTTCTATCTTTCAGATTAAGAAGCTCACGACCCTGCATGTCATTCACTTTCTTTTCTGCAACAAAGACTGTGACCACCTTATTCACTAGCCATTTTCACTGTCTTTATGCTGTTCAAATAAAGCAGATGCCCCTTCTTTTTCCATATATTTTATGTAGCATGGCTTCCACTAAAATCTGCATCTCTGTCAGCTTTCTAGGTTAAGTTTTTAGTGTTTCGTCGTCGTCATCATCATCATCGTCGTTTGTTCTTTTAGTATACATGTTTTGTTTGGTTTAATGAATTCTGTATGGAGGGCATCCAATCATCTAATGTGCACTAATACATCTTTACAATCAGTTTCAAACTTTTGACAGTTTTGAGCTTAGCAGATGAGGAATGGATAATATATAGGTTACTTTTTGAACTTTTTTCCAAATAGGGGCTTTTATGAAATAGTTTATTTTTTAATCTTTTTTACAAATAGCTATATTTTTCTTTCTTGTTAGACTTCATATAATATGACAAAATCCATGGGACTTTTTGTGGCTTCTTTATTGTGATATCTCACAAAATTGCCTTTAATTAGACTGATAAATACAAGCAACAGCAAACCAAAAAACAAAAGAGAATTATATTCAAATCTCTAAAGTTTATTATTTAATTATTTAAATTTTTTTGACATTTAAAATATTATATACATACCCCTTAATGTTTGTACGCACGTAACACTTATACTCTTGTAGTCAAAATCGGTTAGAATATACTTTTAGTAAATTATACTCAGAACCCATGAAGTTTATAGACTTGTCATACTTAAATCCTTTAAGTTTAAAATATTATACTTAGATAAAAAATAATCCAATCAAATATAGAGCATCAAATATTTTAAAATTTATAACCAAAATTTATATTCTATTATGTCAAAAATCCAATTTTTTCTTTAAAAATTATAATTAGTATATAATTATATTATCTATTAAATGACCAAACTACCCCCAATTAAAAATAAAAAATATTATGTCTATTACAGTTTGACCCCTTGTTTATTTTTTTTTAGTTGTATTCTAATAGATAGTATATTAATTATTATTTTTTTTAAAAAAATAGATTTTGATTTTTGATTTTATATCAATAAATGAAATAATATAACATGAATTTTAGTTGTAAAATTTAAAATATTTGATAATTTATCTTTGATTGGAGTATTTTTTGTATAAGTATAATATTTTAAACTTGAAGGGTCTAAATATATTTATTAAAGGACCAAACTAACTCAATTAAAGATAGAAAATATTTTGTTCATTACATTTGGCCTCTTGTTTATTTTTTTTAGTTTTATTCCAATAGATAGTATCATAGTATACTAATTATAATTTTTTTTTTAAAAAAATAGATTTTTATTTTTTATTTTATATCAATAAATGACATAATAGAACATAAATTTTGGTTATAAAATTTAAAATATTTGATATTCTATCTTTGATTGAAGTATTTTTTGTCTAAATATAAAATTTTAAACTTGAAGGGTCTAAATATTGCACACATACAAACTTCAAAGAGTCTAAGTGTAATTTATTATATTGACAATAGGGGTCTAAGTGTTACGTGCATACAAAATTCAAAAGTCTATGTATAATATTTTAAAAATTAAGAGATCTAAATTGACAAATTTCAAAGAATCTAAGTGTAGTTCTCTCAAAAAACAAATAGATATAAGCAACTGGTTGAGTATCTTGAACTGGTTCATGAAGCAATTCATTTAGTAAGTGTACTAGCCTTGAATGAATGTGCTCGGTTCAATATCTTCAGTCATGCGGATTTTCCACGAAAATTTACCTTTTGTGCCATGCCAAAAACCAATCAAGTCAAGTTAAGAATCAATTCAAATTCAAATGAGTCTATTGAGATTAATCCTAAAAAGTTTTTAAATTCCATTCTCACACTTTGAGAATTCATACCAAAAACTTTTTAACTTTTTTTGATTCATAGCGTTAACCAATGTTAATCATTACTTAACCTCGTAACTTATTCAAATCTACAATATGATAACTTATTTTGTATCGTAGATTTTTCTATAACTATTGATGTTATATTATAGATAGTTGAAAAAATGAGCAGTCCAATCTCCGACCATTGCGGCATCTGAAAATGGTGAGTTGAATACAATTGCACCCCGCCTGGGGAATGGAGGTTTTCACATATGAGTAGTACTATGTTTACTAAAAAATTTATCAAATGAGTATGAATGGTTAAATCAATGAATCTCATTAATTTTTTTTTTTTTAACGGAACCCATAAATTCAACCATTCACAAGGCTTTCTAATAAACAGATCATTTCTGTTATTCGGAGTAATATTATTTAAACTTAAAAATTTAACATAATCTGTTGGCCTAATGATGTGATTGTATTATTAACGGTTAAATTAACACTAAATTTTAATATTTGTTGCAACCCACGATCAATCCAAGGGTTATAATTAATTAAGTCAAAAAATTAGTTCAATAATTAAGTCAAAATAGCATTGCTCTTCCCTTCCACACATGGCTAACCAACCCAAAAGTAAGAGTGAAAGTGCAAGAGAAACCAAGAACCAAAAGTTATAAAGAAGCACAAGCCACATATATCAAAAAACGAAACAATATACATTCACAAACTCGTACAAGAAGGTGTTCATCTCCCCTCAGCTACACTAAGAGAGCCAGTGGTGGACAGAAAGCCCAAGGCTCCATATCACAAGATCTAACAAGCTAAAAGGGCGCAGGCAAAACGGAATATGACCCATGTTTCACTCACATTTATTCAAAGGAGTCTTATGCTGTGAAAGCTGATGAACTAACAATGTTCAAACTGTACCACCATAAACAATGCATACCAACTATATTCACCCAACTCAAAATGACCTATTCGATTTCGAAGGTGATGAAGACTTGGCTTTAGCAAAATCGACCAGATCTTTGAACAGTGCATCTTCGGGTTTTTCTTGTTTCGTTGGGGTTGATGAATTGAGAGAGAGATTCTGTGTCTGCCCAGATAAGCTGTCGTAAGAGGAACCTGATCCGGCACTTGAATGAGAGGCGCCAACATCATGTTGCTCAAAAAACTGTTGTCTCTGGTTATACCTGGCCGGTGGGGGCGGAATTGTGACAGGAGAGGGAACATCCCAAGGAGCTGGAGGTAACTGATCAGCAGATTTGGTCATCGGAACTGGTTCACTGTAACTGGGCTTGTCCTTATACATTGAAGCAGTGGGGTTTATGTATTCGTCAGAAGGGGATGGCGAAGAGAGCGTGGAACTCATTGGTGGGATGATGTTTGTGTTGTTTGAATGCATTGGGACTCCAACAGGTGTGGATCCTGATGCTGCAGAAGATCTCTCTGAATTATAGGCATCACCACTTAGGTAGTCAACCATCCCAGCATCTGTAGTTATTGGCTTCCTTGATGATGGTGGAGGAGGAATAAGGGGGCTGACTCGCACCGGTTCATTCTTGGTATTGACTGGCTTTCGTCCCTGTCCCTGTGATGTATCCCTTGATGATCTGCAATGAACCAATGATATGATTGCAAAAACTGAACAGTAACCAAATTGTAGGAAACACTGCCAATAAATCCTACTTTTTGCTTTAAAGAGCAATCAAGTCTCTATCAAGTTTCTATTAAAACCAGAGAGTCCTAATTTCAATAATTAGTTCCAAATTAATTCGAGTCTTAAAAAAATCAACCTTTTTTGACAAGTGTGACCGACTGTTAAAATCGTCATTTGCAGGAGGTGACTCATTCACTTTTATTTTAGATGAATATCCAAGATGTTTTTGGAGTGATGTTCTTTTTATTGCTTGTCATTTCATTAATCAAATGTCATCTTCTATGTTAAATAGGCACAATCCTTATTTTGTCCTTTTTCCTCAATCTCCCTCAATCCACTTACCTCCTAAAATTTTTGAGTGTGTTTGTTATGTTCACAATTTGGGACCCAAATTTGATAAACCTGTTCTTGTGCTACAAAATATGTCTTTCTTAGTTATTTTCACACTCAAAAAGGTTATCGTTGCTATAGTCTTGTGTTTCAACGATGCTTTATTAGTGTTGATATCACATTTATTGAATCGGTTCCATATTTTCAAGATCCCACTCCTCTACTAGATCTTGATATTGACCAGTCCCCTCTACCCTTACCTCTTTCATTACCATCTATTGTTTCATAGTCTATTGTATTTCCTCCATCTTTTCCTCCACCATCCTCTCCCTTTGTGTCTATTCTCGTCGTTCGAGGCCACTACAGAGGTCCCCCCCCAATCTTCCTTAATTCCTTATTATCCGAGTTCCCCCGCTTACCTCTGACTCCTTGCCCATTGCCCTTTGTAAAGGTACTCGATCTTGTGTTACAAATCATCCAATTACTAATTTTGTTTCTTATAATACCCTATCCCTACTTTCTCTTATTTTATTTTCCAGTTATCTACTATCTCCATCCCTAAGATATTACAAGCGTTATCTAATCATGCAAAGAGAGCGGAGCAGCATATAGCGCGATAGCAAGAAGAAAGCTAGCGCGCAAAGAGTGCAGAGCAGCATATATTGCAAAAGAGTCCAAATGCAAGAAAGGCAAAGCACGAAGCTTGTGGTCCGTTCCTTTCCCGACTATAGTAAACTTGCCAAAAGGAAATCTTTGAACTTCTTGCCGAGTACGAGTTTGGTTACCATAAGCAGAAGTGAAAACCTTATATCTCCGATACATAGGATAGAAGGTAAGTATCAAATCCATTCGGATAGATAGTATGGCTTGACAATGTCAAGCTAAAACTATCGCGAAGTAAACATAGGGTCTATTTTAGCCTTGACTATGGAATCAAATTTCCTTACAGGTTAGAGGAAAACTATGGAGGCTAAGATGGATGTCTTACATTATAATGGCACTTGGGATTGTGTTCTCATACCTACCGGTAAAAAGACTATTGGTTTTCGGTGGGTGTATACATTAAAATTCAATCCTGATGATTCTCTTGAACGATTCAAAGCTAGACTTATCGCCAATGGCTTTACTCATTTATGGCATTGATTATTAGGAGACATTCTCTCCTAATGCAAAGATTTCTTTTGTTTATGTATTGAATTATTTAATTGCTAAGCTAGCTTGGCCTTTGTTTGAGTTAGATGTGAAAAATGCATTTCTACATGGTGATTTGACCAAAGAAGTTTACATAGGACAGCCACCTGGGTTTACCACTCAGGAGGAGTAATGTTGGTGTGTGTCGGCTAAAAAAATCATTGTACGGTTTAAAGTAGTCACCAAAAACGTGATTTGGTAAGTTTTCAAAGACAGATCTAGAGTTTAGTCTTCTTCAATGCCAAACAAATTTTACCTGTTTTTCACAGACATATAGTTGTAGGATACAGGATACATTATACTTGTTGTGTATATGAATGATATTGTTATTACTGGTGATGACTCTAAAGCTATTGCACAATTAAAAATCTTTCTTTAACATTAATTTCATACTAATGACCTAGGCAAACTCTGGTACTTCTTGGGCATTGCAATCGCCAGATCTAAGCAAGGCATTTATTTCTCTCAGAGAAAATATGTATTTAATATGCTGAAATAAGCTTGTTTACTAGGTGGTAGACCAATTGATTTCTCCATGGATCTAAATCATAAACTGTTGGATGATGACGATGCACTATTTGAGAATCCGAGTCAGTACCGTTGACTGCAAAGTTGAAATATCTCACTATCACTCGACCAGATATTATATAGGCGGCTAGTATTGTGAGTCAATTTTTGGGAAGTCCTAGAATACCACATTGGGATACTGTTATTCGTATCCTTCGATACCTTAAAAGAGCTCTGGATTTGGGTTGTTGCATTGAACTAATAGGCATTTTAAAGTGGAAGTTTTGTTAGATGCTAATTAGGAAAAAGTTCTCCTTTAGATCGAAGATCAACTATTAGATATTATACCTTCTTGGTAGGTAATGTGGTCACATGAAAGAGTAAAAAACAAACAGTTGTCGCACGGTCTAAGTATAGAGTTATGGCAAATTAAGCAAGTGAGCTAACGTGGTTACTACATTTTCTTCAAAAGACGCTCTTCCCCATTGCTGTCAATCCAATATTCTATGAAACAACTAAACATATCGAAATTGATTGTCACTTCATTTGTCACAAAATACAAAATGGAGAGATCGCACACCATTTGTGAAATCAGAAGACCAACTTGCAAATAAGTTCACCAAAGCATCAAATCTTTCCCGACTGGCAACTATCTGTTCTAAGCTTAAGTTATATAATATATAGCCCAGCTTGGAGGGGAGTATTGAGAATATTAGTAGTATATCAACATTATTTCTATTGTAAAAAGTATCTCTCTCTGAGGATATACTAGTCTTTTAAATTTTGGTGTGAAACTATAAATATAAGTTGAGAGTAAGAGGTAGGGTATGATTCTAACTTCTTTGTCCCCTCTCTAAGAAACTATACATTCTACCACCAGCTTTTCAATAAAATCCCATTGTGTTTTGGTTCAGGTACAAAACCACAGGATCAAAACCACAGGATCGGACTAATTTTATCAAAGGTCCCACTTATACTCATAAGTCCGAAAACCTTATCCTGATTGCCGAAAGAAGAGAGCATTGGAAATAAATCCATGCAGGTGGGAGAATTCTATCCCATAGAGTGAGGGTGGGAAAAAAATTGAGGGGATATTGAATAGCAAACCGGATACGGAAGCTAAGTGACCACAATATCATCATAGTCATGCAAAATCACCAAATTCACCTCTGTGAATGATAATTTGGTCACATGTGATATAGTCCCATGAATTAATGAAACCTCCAAACCCTGGGTTGGATGGGATGAAGTTAGGACCCACAACTAAGCCTCCCTATTACCAAAGGATAGGAATCAGTTGGTTAAAAATCCCTATCCTTGGCCTACAATGGAATGAATTGGATTGTCAAATCTCATCCAGCCATTCCTCAAACCAAACAAACCCTAATTAGTTTCATTTCCAAAGTGACCAGAACTAGAAAAATGCAATACATTACAACAGAAATTATTGTTTAGTCCGAATTCTACATACAGTGAAACTGTTAAAAGAGTACTTTCCACTTTAAATTTCCCTATAGCAAAAAGTTAAAATTGAAAATTCATATCCCACTGGTTTCAACTCTTTTTTGTTCTGTCCTCCCCCCCACCCCCCCTTTTCTCCTTTTTCTGGATAAGTATCCTGCTTAGCAAAGACACAAACATGGGTGTCATTGTCGAAAACAAACTCAAAGAGTCTAATGCGCAAAAAAGGAATGACACAATAATATGGAGACAACAGCACACCAAAAGGTCACAAATGATAAGTTCACATCTATTGTATGGCATTGGCTCCCTACCAAATGCAATTTAATTCAGACAAGGTGCATCATCAAAGTTTGTCTTAATTTCCCATTGAAACTGACTAATATCTACTCCACTGCTTATCAAGCACTTGAAGGTGCCAATTCAGCAGTAGAATAAACCATAAAGAAAATGAGGCATGAAAGAAAACGATGGTATAGAATCATGCATAGTATTCTAGAATAACTTGCATTCCTATATATTGGTTCTAATTGCTGGCACTGCGGTCCGCGTTAAAATGATAAGATTAGTAAAAGAGATGACAAAACAACACCATCAAGAAAATCCAAATCCAGGCAAAGTCCAAGCACATCTTGGCCTGATACTTACAGTTCAATTTTTCTCCAGATTCTGCCTTCTCATTTGAAATCCTCGGTCTTTATTTATACCAATTCACCCCCTACTTCACCCCTGCTATTAATCTCATTGCACATACCTCCCTTATTATCTCTAATGCAATGCATTTATTTCCTTACTATACCTTTCCTTTGTCGCCTAAAGTGCATTTCCTTAGTTCACTAAACACATGCTTATTTAACTTGTTAAGCCATTTTCTTTTTTCTTGATCATCTGTTTATGGGTAACTATAAATGGTAAGATTCAAACCCAAAAACCCACTCTTTAGTAGCCCCACATCTACAATTAGGCAAAAACTTCAGTTCTTTTTGAAAGGTTGCAACCCAATGACTTCCCCTAAATGGTCTTGACACTCAACCGTAGAGTTAAGAAGTGATTCCACGCATTGGAGTTGGTATGGTTGCCTAAGCACGATTGACCAACCTTTCATGGAGAAAGCTTTCCGTAGCAGACAAAGAAGCTCTACACAAGCATCACTTCACCAACATGCATCAATGCAAATATCTACCACCTATTACAAAAGCAGTGGCATACTTCCCAATTTAGCCTCAATAAGTGTATTCCCCTAAACCATAATAACCTTGTGGCAGCCAACAAAATTTGTTCGACTTTTTCATATTATTTTACTTCATCCTCTGTCTTATTAGTAGAATGTTCGAGGTGATGCCCTATTGATGGTCCATACATCCACGAACGCGACCGAGGTTGACACTGTAAGGTGGCGCAAAATTTTCACCAGCTGAGTTACCTCCCCACACAGGATTACATTATTTCCTCCTACTAAGTTTATTTCCAGAAATAGGCTTTACTTCTTTTATGTCACAAATATCCTGCATCTTCTTGTCTTTATTTCTTTTCTTTTTCTTTCTGCTATGGTTTCTTTCTTTACCCGCTAAAACAATCCGCCATCACACCACAATGCTATTTCTTATCTATCGCCAATATAGCACTTGAACAATGAGGCTATTGTCTTATATTCCAAATAATTTAGGAGACCTACATTGATCATTGCTTAAAGAAGTATACAAAATTCATTTTTACATGACTTTTATTAATAAAAAAAATACAAAATTACATGATTTATGTCTGCTATGGATAATAAAAGAGACAAACAAAGTGGGAGCTATATTTCCTTGCATTGTGTTGATTTCTTAACATGGCATGAACTCTATAGTCATATTGAATTGGTTTTCTTCTTTTCCTTTTCATTTCTTTTTAACTCACTTGTATACCTTCTGAGTTCAGCAAACGAATAATATTAGGAGACAGTTGAGGAAAGACCACGAGGATTTCTTCTTCAAAGCAACTATTGATTGATTAGAGAAGACTTGAGACTGCAACCACTAATGTCCTAAGACGGTGGATCCCAACATAAATATACTTAAATAATTACCAATATAAGTCATCCCCCAATAATTCTTTTTAGTTGAGTTTTGTAATTGTGCCTGTTTTAGTTGATTTACACGGAATAGGAAATATACATTCATGATTCTCATATGTGTATGCTTCAATAAATCAGTCCACATGGCTAGTACTATTATTGGTCGGACAATTTTCAATTTACCATATTATTTCCTTGTCTTGATCAACTCTAAGAGTAAACTTAATTCTTTTAAGCAAGCAAATATATGAATATTCGTTTATAGTATCAACGATCATGTCAAATTCTTAATACTTCTTTTTACTATTATATACACTACCAATGTAACATAGAAAAATATTCCATTTTCATCCTTTCTCGGTTTTATTCAATCCTGCACATTGTGTGGGTTTACATTATATGCTCTGCTTGAGTTATTTCTAACACATCCTCAATCTCCATTGTTCAATCATTGAGCTCAAAATTCCCATTGACTTTGATTCATCTAGTTTGATAAAGAAAACAAAACGTATGCCCAAATGCCAATCTATGCTTTAATCGCTTGTAATCGGACACAAGTGTACTTGGTAGTAATGCCAAAAAAAATAAAAGTTTGTCTTCAGCATCCTAAGTTTTCAGACAATACTTGTGTGTACAAATGGAGAGAAGAGCAGAGCCAAAGATGACAATGAAGATATTTCTTTTCTCTTTTTTTCTCTCTTTTCTCAAACTGCTATCTGAAAGTGTATTCCATCTGTAACAAAATTGCATTGTCCTTAAAATCCAGTTCATAGTTACAACTCTCCATACATTCCAAAAATTTAAAATCAATTGAGGTATCTGCAAGTAATTTCTCTTCCCTATAGCTAGACACTTTTGTTTTGCACGTAGAATTGATGAAAAGAAGAATCTTAATAATCGTCTGGATACTGCCGATAGGCTGGTTTAAGAATGAGATTGTGGCTTATAGGAGAACTTAGGACTGGACTGCTGTGGGACCATGCCTTCCTAAAGGCAGTCATGGAGGGAAGGGAAAGCAGCTATCTTTCCTAACTTAATCAAATATGCATATGCTCGAAGCAGCCACATCCACAACATGCATAAATGTGACTTGACAGAAACCCAATATGAAATGTGAAAGGTATAGTAAAAAGGATCACCTATGGGATAACTGGGCAAAATCATCTTCTGACTCGTCATCCTCATGATTCACATTCGTAAGAGGTGCAACTGGAGTTTCTGTAGTTCCTACTCCCACAACAGGGGTTCCTTTCGCAATGTCATCATGCAAGCTAAGAACACGCTGCAGGTTATCGTTCAAGGTCAATCCCATTAACAGGAGCTCCTCGTCTCTGAAAGGGAATAAAGCACATTGTCAGTCATTAATTTAAAAGGTCAGACAGATTAAAACAAGGGCTGTATTCTTACACGGTATTGTTCACAAGACTCAAGACACGCTTTTGGTAAGAACGGCACTGGTCAACAAGGTCAACTATCACCTCTTGCTTTAAACCCTGCCATAAAATCCAGATATTAAAAAACAATGCTTATTGCATAATTTTTCTATTGCAACAAGAAAAGCTCCTTTTCGAATAAATTCAAAGAAAATCAAAAGACCAAAATATTTATAAAGGTCTGCTTGAAGTTCAGAAACTAAAAAACATATTCACCTGTACCAGTTTGCACAGAACTAATATGGAGTAAAATGCTCGGGCTAACAAGTGCAGCCATTTTGTGCATTCTAGGGGCAAAGATAAGGTCTATATCCAACTCACCCTTCTTAGTACCCTTAATTTACAAGGACCAAAATTGAATAATGATCTTTTTAGACACAAGTTGCAGATCCGCTCATCAATAACAAGATTAAATGTACACTTTTTCACCCCAATTCTTACAAATTGTATATATTATCCCCAGCTCTGGTTCCAAAGAGCGAACTGTTACTCAAAGGAATTTCTGTGGATGCTATCAGTGTGAATAAATTCTTGGGTCAAACATTTCGTTCTAATCTCAACATCTATGCCTTTGTAGGTCATCAGATAATCTGTATGCATGAGCTATCACTTATTCTACTTGAATAAAGTTACTTCTCCAACATGTTGCAAATCCTTCGGCCGTGAGAGGAGAGGGTTCAATAAAAGCAACATTAGCTGACACACTACTAAATAACGTATAACATTTGGATAACGGAAATATATATAAACTCTTCACCTTGATTTTGCCAACAGTGGAACTAACAGGAACAAAAGAAAGTCAAAAATGATGACAGGGAATAGAATCGTAAGCAATTGCAAATTACTTAAATATAAGACGGAATTTCCATAAAACACAGTTCTACCCAGATGAACAACCAAGAACTTCGTGTAAGGTTTCTATGTGAGAACAGAAAAGGGAATATAAATTTATATACTTGGAAAAAGAGTTAAACAGAAAGTTCTAACCTCACGATTCTGAGGTCCCAAGGCACCCAACATTTCCGTTAACACATCTGCTAGTCCCTGAGCATTTTGAATATCCGGCAAGCTGCATCACGAAAAAATCTTGAGAACTACAAAAATATGATTCATGTGATAGTAAATGACTTAAAAGGGGGAGGAAATCCAGTTGGGCCAAAAACAACCCTAGTTAGAAAAGTTAAAAATCGCTAATCCACTAGACTAGATACCTAATTGAGGAAAACTTTGTATATAACTGGGTTAGACATCTTGATATAAAACTGTACACAAACCACGCTTTTCATCCAATGAGATTGTTATGACTGTTGAACAATCCAACAGCTTGAAAAAGTCTAGGTATCAGATCAATTTTGTTCTCCAGGTTCGTTCAAATTGCAAAATGAATCAGATTTGATCTGATTTTGGAGCTTGTTCCGTAAATGAGCCAAAAAAAAAAAAAAGCAATGGGTGGATCACCTCGGCTTGAATAGGTTCCTGTGTATGAATAATTTGGGTTTTATTGATAAATAACTCCTATCCAAAAGATGGAAAATCTCAAACAGTAAAACTCGTCCCCACATACTCTAGACCATATACAGTTCTCTCTCTCCTGATGGGATTCATTGCATTAGTATGGGTATAATTGCATCCGCTATCTCCCTCTCTACTATTATAGGTTTCCGAAAATTTTGAACTTCTAGTTTCAATTTTATGGTTTATTCTACAGACTCTAGGGGATATTTGTTAAGGAATTAATTCTTTTAGGATTATTTATGAAGTGCTAGGACTTACTTTTTGGGAAGTTTTGTTGATAAATTAAGTTTGGTTTCAGCCCACCTTCGCCTAGAATGCTCGCAATTTTCTATCACGTCAAGCTTGAGCAAGAAGTCGAGTTCAACAAGTCACCACCAGCCGAATCTGAGTATACTCGAGCTTATAATCTCCGAGCACCTCATAGTATTTTCAAGGCATCCGAAGAAGGATTAGCACCCCTAGTAAATCTAAGCAATTCATCAAGGAATATTTCTAAAGCTAACTCGCAATTCTTAATTTTAACAACCCTAACTAATGTAGGGACTACAAAATTGGAAATAATCATATCGAGGAAAAAAAATTGGAAAGAACTAGAATAAAGAGGGTTTAAAACAAGTAAAACTAAAACTGAACATGTGAAATATAATTTCAATGAAAGCAAAGAGAGGAATTGAGAAGAGGTGAAGATCAAAGACCAAGTGATATCAAAAAATGAATAGTTTTGTCACCTAGGCTTCATTATTGGGAGGGAGAGTTCAGAGATAATACAACTTGTAGAATTAAAGTTACTTGACTTGGTGGAGAAATGTTTCTCACATCTTACTTGACTGATTAATGATGTACAGAAAGGAAAACTAAAATAAACATTGTAAGGCCAACTATGTTTTACATGACAAAACTTTAGACAACAAGAAACAACACTTTCACAAAATGAGTATAGCCGAAATAAGGACATCAAGATGACCATTTAGGATATGAAAACATAGAATTAGAGCCCAGTACATTCTTGAATGGTGGGAGTACCCCCAACTGAAGATAAATTGGGAAAGAACAGTCCGAGATGGGTTGACAATATACAATGAAGACCAATGGGTGCAACTATGAGAAGTCGCACGATCACCATCAAAGGAAATGGTAGGAGGAGGACACAGATTGACATGGAATCAGGTATTGAAGAAGGATACAGTATTTTATAATTTAAGCGAACATATAATGCTTGATACCGTGCAATGACAAGAAGGAATGATGTAGCCAACCCCACATAATTGGGACAATGCTTTGTTTGGTTTGATTTGGTTTGGTAGGGTTATTGATATGTAATACAATCAAATAGATAACAGGAAGTGGACAAAATGCATAGTTTACATATTTAACCGGCATATATAGGATTATATGCCGGTTGGTTCAGCACTTTGTTGCAAATGATATATGCATGATATTAATCCGTGATATATTTCCACCAGGAACAATATATTTTTATAATTATCCACCCATGGTTATACATGTCATATCAACATGCCTTCGTCAACAAAGTAACTAACCTAGCACCTGATGCATGTACAAACACACCAGCATTGGGGCCTGTGGACTTAGAGATGAAGGCCTGTCATGAAGTTGCAACAGAACTGCTTGTGTGGTTGCTAGGTAATGATGGTTGGATGAAACAGTTGTAGGTGTGGTCAAGGTAGAGCAATTGCATGGTGCAGGGTCCACAGCACTCATGGTTGCATGTCCAAATACGATATAGAAGTTAAGGGCGGAGACAATACAGTATAACTAATAGCACAACTTCTAGAATTTTTGTCAAAAAACAGTGCTAGATAAAATGTATTCTAAGATTAGTAATTTCCCAGAAATGAAATATTCACATGAAAGTGCCACCTGAAGCAGATGTCTCGTTTCAAAAAGGAAAAGCAAGGGGGGGATGACAAATTCTTATGAAATATTTTGCCACACCCTTTGATGGGTCTCATTAGAGAATGCACAGTTAGATTTTCAATTAAACTGAGTTTGGACACCAAAACTAATTCATAAGGTTCGTTCATAACTTAGCTTACGTTACCAAGACTAAAGTAAATACTCAACAATGAAAAGAGTGTATGCCTTATTAAAATGACAAACACAAATATATGTACCAACCGTAACCATCTGATAATTACAGAAAAGATTCAAGAACATATGTTTGCAATGCATGAACTTATAGAATGCAAAACAGTACGAAGCAGTACCTGAGTCCAGAAGCATCAGACTGGAGAGAGGCCTGGACAGCAGCTTCCTCGTATGCCGAAGAAGGGTGGACAATTGGATGGGTTTGTGGCGGAGTAAACAGTGGTACACTGTTCTCCTCACGGGGTGGAAATTCTACGCCAGCAGACTGTCAAGAATTGAAAAAAAGCAAATTGAATGAGTAAACCCGGGACCAAGATTTAGACAAGCTAAAATACCACAAGTATACACAGAAATAAGAAAATTTATGGAGATATTATAGCTTTATTTAACTATTACATGTGAAAAGATAAGCAATAAGAAAAATGCAATGCAAAACAAACTACAGGCAACATATTTTCTAAGTCCATGAGTAGGCAAAGGCACTCTAACTAATAGGAGGATAAGAACTGTGTTTTGAAACTTCAAGTGTTAGATTTATGAAGAAAACAAAGACATTCTTTTTTCCTTTCTTCATCACTACTACTTTATAATAAGTTATGTTCTCCCATCCATAAAAATAATTCTTAACTTCACTTCTTAACCAAAACGTAACTACAAATGAGTGCCAATCATTATATTGAGCTGTAAACAATGAAAAACTGAGACAACAGCTTAAGTACCAAACATGTTCTGAAAATCAGCATTAGCTTATTAGGATCAAATATGCTTGTCTCAAAGTAGTAGTCTAGATTTTCTACAGATCATACTACCAAGTAAGGCCCATGGGTCACTACTATACACATTGCGGAACATGCTAAAAAGTACAGGAATGCCCCAATGCCCAAAGAAATTATGAGCCTATATAAAATTTCACCAGCAAGTACTACATCCATTTTTACTATTACTATAGTCCTTTTTTCGTATCAAAAAAATAAAATAAAATTTAAACAGCAGAATAAAACTCAAAGAAACCATAAAATATGACCCAAAAAAGACTCAAGACTAAATTATGCAAGGCCTCCTGTGGGGCCTGCATCATCCACCACATGCCAAATCATGGCTTGAGCCTTCGAAGCAACCTTGCCCCACCATTTGTAAGCCAATGTAAAACGCTGCCACATATCCTCATCAGGTACTTAGTGTCACATACCTTAGGCATACAAAAACTTGCTAACTTTGTAGATTAAAAAATTTTGCACTACTTTACAGTCAAAACATTGGGAAAGTTTACTATAATGAAATATCATCTGATGCACTTAAGATATTAATTGAGAAGATAGGCTAAGCAAACAGAAAACTTTCTGGCTGAAGCATTCAGGCAACATGTAAAGCAACATATGTCAGTAGGCAAGAATGCAGACATCAGGGAAAATACAATCCCAACTCAATAAATCAAGGCAAATCATAAGTCAAACTTGAGGGCTTAAAATGAAGGCTAAACATCATAAATGTCCTCTGGACATTGGCACTAGTTTTAATTCGCCCCCTACACTTCAAATTGTCTCAACTTTAACCTTGAACTTATAAAATCGAAGAATGGAATTGAACAAAAAAGGCTGATTGTTATGATTTTAAGAGTTCAAGCTTAAACAAAACTGACTGCTACGATTTTGAGAGCAAAATGTTAAAACTGAGAAAAAATGAAGTTTATGGGACAAGGTGAAACTACTGCCAAAATCTAGGGGGATCCATGATGTTTGCCCTGAATAAATAATGGGGATAGTACAGTTATAATAACCATAGATGTATGGACCACAAAGCATCAAAGAAACATGAGCAAAGTATAAAAAATTTCAACAGCTTCCCTTCCAAATGAAAGAATTCTGATTACAGGGCTTCAGTGAACGGACCTAAGGTGAAAATATGATTTCTGACAAAAATAGATACCAAGGAAGAAGAGGCAAAATATATTAATGATTGACAAATAACCTTCAGTTCATTATATGCAGCATAGTACTGGGGATGCCTTCCCCTGGGTCCTCCCAAAGCTTCTTGCCATGTATCTACTAAAATTAAAATCTTCTCCCTTACATTTAAATCTGGCTGCAAAAGAGTGAAATATACAATATTAGTATCACAAAGGGAAAAAAGATGCAAAAGACATCGCAGGCAAAAGGATTATTGGCACCTTCTTCTTTACGATTTTGACCATTTCATGTAAGATGTCCCGCTCGACAATCTGCTGAAACACATTCTCCCCACAATTTTTGCTAAGAGTCTCCAACACCTAAATCAGAAATTTGTAGAATGAAACATGCAATTTGAAAATGGTTGCTATATTTGGGTGTCTCACAAGTAGCACCACATCCATGCAGCAAGTAGCCACATGCATAACTGCTGAGAACTGAAAGAAACGCAAGATATGGACAGATAGTGGAGGTTGGGGGGCTGTAGTATCTAATATATAGTTTTAACAAAATTAATTTGGCTTATCCTGAGCTGACCCACATTCCAAAGTGCTAATTAGAAATCTTGTGTGCATTCAAGCCTTTTGGGATTCAAATTTTCACTAAATGGAAAAATTGATAACCTGCTAGTGCTTGTGGGCCCAAAAAACAATAGAAGCCACTTAATTTCAATAAGCAATTAAGCAGCATTGAAGACATCAGTACTTATTTGAAGTAGTAGTTCTTTTGTCAAGTACCAAGTCTAAACAAATGTGGGTAACCCACAAGCTTAATCAACTAGCAGAATTGAGGCCAAGAGAGACAAGTCAAGCACAATTGGGTGGGGGCTTATGTTCTGGACTCAAACCGAACCATGCTACATTTGACTTGATCCACATCCCATTCTCAAATAATAAGTGATAATAATACAAAGAAGTCCTCTTTGAAAGATAATATTTTATTCCATAGCAGCCTCATAAAGAATTTTCAAAGCTGTAGGCATGAAATGAGATGTCGAAACCTTTTAATGATAAAGCACAATTTTCAAGCCATAAGGTTTCTCATAAATCTCAAGTTACACCACTAACTAAAAATTGAAGAGCTAGAGAACAATTATGATTGGTAATGATGCAACCTAAGAAGCATGGACACGGATACGACACGATACGGACACGCCGGCACGACATTTCTCAACAAAGTAGGACGTGGACACGTTGGGGATACGCCACAAAAAAATTATTTTTATATATCATATTATATAATTTATTGCAAATATAGTGATAATAATATACAATTCATAAAAAATTCAATAGTTTATGATAAGTAAATCTAATGTCTAGTGATCTGTGTGAATTTTTAGACTAAAGCATCCTCATTATAGTCAATAATCATCAAATTTTTTTTTTTGTAGACAATGTGTACCTAATATATAATTTAAATAATTACTCTCATTTTCTCAATTCCTCTTTTTTAAAACTTTTATGCATCTTGAGAGTGTCCGACACGGATACATCACCTTCTCGAGAGTGTCCATACTTCATAGAATGCAACATTTCCTGAGTTTCTATATTATATGAAAACCTATGCTAATAATGACAGGCAAATAAAATTCATGTCAAGAACATTACACGTCATTTTGTTTTAAACTGGCCACATAATGAACTGCAAAATGAAGTATTAATTCCAACACAAAAAATTATATTGTGGGCAGAAAAATAAAGTGGGATGACTGCAGCACACCGTTGCAATCCAAATGTAGGCATGGCACCTTTCTTCTACTTTTTGTTGCATCTTGCTGAGGGTCCCTCAACTCAAGGTAGGTGTCAAGGTGCGAAAGACAAATGCATCCTTAAATCATAAAAGAGGAAGGGCAAATCAAAGTTTTACAGGTCTTATTGCTTTAGGCATGGATGAATTAGACATTATATACAACCAAACTGCTGTTGGTAACAAGGCATCGAGGGAATGTGATAGTTGTTGGCTAAAAGCCAAGCTAAACTATATCAGCTTGTCCACAACATGGTACCAATACCACTTGATGAACCTAAACAAGGTCCCATAGTAGATGTCAGCAAGGTTTAAAAAAAAAATCTTTTGTTCACGTTCTATTCTTATCAATTTTTATGCATCAACTTTCTTTTGTAATGCTTGAAAAGCAATAATGAGCAAAAGAAAGGGGAGGTCCCCCTCCCCCTATCAACAAATTAGCAAATAAAATATTAAGGCAAGGGCTTTGTGAGCAAGATCCAGAAGTTTGATACCTCTAGTCACAGAACTCCAAACATATGTCTTAAAATAACCATAATGGTGCCACAATGTCTGGAACTCCATATATAGAAACAGTAACGGCAACTGAAAATTTATTGCCCCTGGCACATACCAATTCATAGACTAATTTCATCCCAACAGAGATCCATCTAGAAAACATGCATGTAAAATGTTCATGACAATTATAAAACGTATGATACTGAGCTTAACCAATGAACAAGGAGCTATTGGTGAAAATGAAGGAAATAAAAATACTGACAAAAAGAGCAAGGAGCTGTATTTTAGGACTTTTACTCCCCAGACGCTTCTTGATTATCTTCAAGGCATCTTTTGCTTGCCTGCAAATTTTTAGCCAACCCAACGTCAGGAAAACAATAAAAACATATTCGGATCAATTAACAATTCAAAATAGTATAACACTTAAGGAGGAAACAATGCGGTGTGCAAGAATAAAATTAGTTTTAACATAGAAGAAGACTGGGAGCTTAACCATCAAAAGTAACAGCTTCAGGATGTCATATAATTGATCGTAACAAAAAGGGTGTCATATCATTGATCGTAACAAAAAGGGTGTCATATCATTGACAATTTTATTTTTTATTTTTTATTTTTTTGACCAAGCAACTAAGGATGCCAATGACTATTTCTAGTAGAAGAATAGAATTCGAAGTGTCCAATTCCATTTTTCATGCATCAAGAAACATTTCCTCGTTCATAGAGACAAAAGTATATAATGCACTTGTCACAAAATCTGGAAAATGGACTATCTATTGGGGCAGGCACAATTAAAAGAGGGAAAATTCAAAGGGTAGACAAAAGAGGGTTACAATTCATTTCAAAACCTAGGCAGCAAACTTTAATAAGTTAGCCACAACTCTCAACCCATGCTATTAATGTGTTACAAAATAGGATCCCCAATAACAGTAAATACACATGCTCGCAAGAAACATAAAACATCACAGGACGTAGTTGCAAAGTATGTTAATCTTAATTATTTTACTTATCATTAGAAAATTTATTGCAACTTGCATATGGCCACAGGAAAATCCATAGAGCCATCCAATGAATTCACCCGATGGCCATTGCTTGTGTTTCATTTTTTAAAAGACATTGGCAAGCATAGCATGTATGTCCATGCGCAGTATGGATTTACACAAAGATTGGTGGAATGTCACAACAGATGATGAAGAAATGTATCCAAAATTATGGACAGCATAAGAAAGCTTATGGGTACAAGAAAATAAGTACCCAGTTAAAAGCCCGGTCGAGTGGCTCAGTTCATTTTACAGCCCTAATCCCAGTGTCTTTTTGTGCTACAACTCGAGTGATTCTCACTTCTCAGACTAATCATGACAATAATCTGAGGTTCTAATGTAATGCTACTGAATCTAAACCAAGAAAACAACTCAAATAAAGACAGATAAGATGAACAAGTGTATTATACCTCAAATTTGATCATTCTTACATGTTTGATGCATGTAAAATTACATGGTTTGTTCGAAACGCAATAGTCTGGTGGTCTTATATGGTTCAATGACATAAAAACAATCGATAAAACAAACAATACATGCTCCCATTCTTTGCCAATGGTGAGAAACTGATAAGGGAAAATCTAAATGCTTAAACACACCCTTGACAATAGAGACTGATGGAAAGTTAAATTGTCGGGTTAGTGATAAAAAAGAAGGCAATCCAACAAATCAAAATTCTCTCCACAAAAAACATCACTAGCGTATGCTACTAAAATATGCCCTAAACACATTCAATTGGTTTTTAAGGGAGAAACTATGTCAAGAAGAGCATCAAACAAAAAATCAACAAACCGCAATTGTACAATAGTAAAGGGGTAATACCCAGGATTCATATTTATTATATCGCATAGCTCAATGTTTATTGCCCAATCTGGACCAATCAGCATGTCACTCGTCGCCCTCTCTGCACAAGCCGCCGCATCATTAGCCATATCTGTATGGTATCAGTCCGTCCTCCTAATTACTCCACCTTTGGTATTCCTAAAAAGCACAAACGCAGCACCACCTTCAATTCAGTCCAAATATTCACAGCACAAAATAAAATAAAGTAAAATCACAAAGATATACATACAATTATACAATCAATTGAAACAGAAAACAAGAACCCATCGAGAATTTGAGAAAACAGCACAAGAGAAATTATCTAAACCATAATTGAATCTAATCGAACAATAATTCACGAATAAAATCCAAAACCCAACAAGATTTGAAATAACCACAAAAGATAAACACACTATTAAGATATATTAATCTCCCATTTATGAATGCGAACCAAAACCCAAAACTTCAATCCTAAATCAACCAGGAAAAATCAAAGAAACCCAGTAGTTGACTGCCCAAGATCATGTCTTTACCACATCAAATACCACAAATAGCTTCAAATTCAAAAACCCTGTTCAGAAAAGATCAAGATTTGAAGAATCCAAGACACATAAATCGAAGAAAAACAAGTCAGGATCTATGGAGGATTACCAGTCAGAACACCCACAGTATAGTCTAGAGAGAGAGAGCAGATATTGATTTAACGATATAGAGAGATAAATTGAAATGAGTATGTAAAGGGTGGAGTGGTTTTTCACTTTTTCTTTAGACGGAGTGATCTGTGTTTGGTACCTTCCCCGTGCGTCACACACTTAATCCAAAGATTGTCGTGGCCGTTGGTATTTATATTTGAGTTCTCTGTTCCTCTAGTATTATATTTTTTTCGCATTCTGACTTTTGTTTCTTGATATGTAAGCAAAAACGTGGGTCGTAAGCGCGTTTTGAACTGCCGACCGACCCCACTCCGATGGCTATTGCAGAAACAAACAAATCAATTCGCATTATATTAAATTTTTCTAACTTTATTCTATATGATTATTTCTAAAATTATCGTCATCTTTATAAAAAAATATATATAATTTGAGCTTACACTATTAATATAAAAATGTATTTTTAAAATATGTTTATAATATACAAAAATTAAAACTGTGTTTTGTAAAATATATTATTTAATATTAATATTAATATTAATATGTGAGTTCAAATGACATTTTTTACTAAAACAAATGATTGTATAAGAAATAAATTAAAAACAATGATGGAGGGGCAATTAGGGTTAAAAATTGCGATAAATTGATAAAAAAAATTTATAAATAATTAGTACCAGGAAATTGGCATTTAAAAAACATGTTTGTTAAATGTCATTTTCGTATAGATAAACGTAAATACGACACTTAAGTATAAAGTTAAGACCGATCAAAATTAAAAAATATAATCAATGTCCCAACCTAAAGAAAGTGAAAAATATTAAGAATTATCGTGTTGTACACTTTCGTAAAAAGAACGATAGTTTAAGAAATAAATTGGAAACGAGAGAGAATAATATTTAAAAATTATTGAGAAATTGAGAAATAAATAATATGCTCAATTGGTGCCAGGGCGTTGACCATTTTGGTGGGGGGGTTTAGCTTAGACTAGAAAGGTGGCTTCAAGTGTAGATTAATCTAGGGAAGACTAGAATTTTGCTAAGTTGACATGGTCCTAGGCTAACCCGATTGCCCATGTACACGAGTGGTGGCAATTTTAAATGATGGATATTTCTAATTTTTTTTATTTAATTTTTTCATCCTCGTCCGAGTAAAAGATAAAATAATAACAAAGATAATATATATATAGTTTCATATCTAGGAAGGCCGACATGTTACTCAATTTTGTTTTTTTATTTTTTTTACAATGTGTTCAAATTTATACAGACTATTCTCTCGAACTCAACGGTCAACGTGTTCAAATTTATACAAACTATTCTCTCGAACTCAACGGTCAGCCACCATAATATGCAATTTTGCTCCGCAAGCTTATTTTATGATTTAAACTTGTCATATTCATTATAAAACAACATTGTTACTCCATTTAAAAATAATATTTAAAACAAAATAATGCACATAATTGCCCTTTCTTTAAATGGAAAACCTAAAAGTAGGGTAAATCTCGTCAAGACCCGAAAACAAATTTTAAAAATAATACAGACCCTGACATTTGTAATGTATTGCATATGAGCCCTTTCGTCTAAGGATGTTAAACAAACCCCTTCCCCCCCCCCCCCCACCCCACCCACCCCACCCAAACCCAACCCAACCCAACGAAAAGGCATTATATATTTTCAAGGGCAAATTGCATTTACTACCTTCAAAATTAAATCTCTCAAATTGTACTATGAGGGCATGTTTGTTTGGGAGATTAAATAGTATTATAGGGTGGGATATAAGGAAATAGTACCTGGGCCCTTCCATTACCTTGTTTAATTGGCATTTTACATGCAATATTATTTTTCAAGTCATAAAACCGACCCAGTTTGCACAGTGTCTATTAAACCTTGTACATAATTTTAATGAATACCACTTACCCAGTGGTATTATCTTCCTGGTATAAATAAAAGGATGGTACAAGAAAAAAAAATGACACAAATGCCCTCATGTATAATATCCTCATATAAAAGTCAACTTTCTACTAACAAACCCTAGCCACTCATATCTCTCAATGATGCTAAAAGCCTAAAACTATAGCTAGTCGCCTCCCTCAACGATACTCAAACCCTACCCACTCTGAACGATGGTAAAACCCTATCCACTCGTCTCTCTCAACGATACTGAAACCCTAGCCACTCTCAATGATGCCGAAACCCTAGCCACTTTCAATGATAGTGAAACCCTAGTCACTCTCAACGCTATTGAAACCCTAGTCATTGTCAATGCTTGTATCTCCCTAGCCACTCTGAACGATGGTATCTCTCTAGCCACTCTCAATGCTGCTAAAACCCTTTTTCTGTAAAACCACATACAAGTACGTTCTTATGATTCTTCTCAAATTTTTCGTCAACGTCGATTACGCTAATGTTGTGTTGATGTTGTAAGACGGGGAGACGATCGTTGGCAATTTGATCTATGTCGACCTCTGTGGGAAAGATTGGTTGTGATCTGGTATTTTGGTCATGTAAATTCTCAATCGCTGGTGAAATACACCCCGAGAATGTTTGAAATTTTCAAATGGTATTTTTTTTTAACCATTTGTTTTTGGAAAGTGAAATAAAAGGCCAAAATATTTTTTTCCCTTGTTTTAGTCGTTGTACCTATTCGATTTTTGGTAGTTTATTTTCTTATTTGTTGCAGAATGTTGCCCTTATCTATATGTTAGCCCTTATAATGCCCAGAATGTTTGTCTGATTTTATTTTGAGTCCAATGGTTATGATTTTTTTATATTTTAACAAAAAAGATGTATTGTTTGTTGTGTGATGATATCTAATGCATGCTTGTTCCTGTAATATGTTTTATTTTGGTAATTCCATAACAAGCGTTGCTTGTTGGCTATGGATGTTTACTGTAATTTGTGAGAGTGGCAGATGTGATGGATGAAGACAGTAATCTCAGTGTGCCATTGGTGGTTGTTTTGGATAATGTCGTATCTGATATGGTTATGATATGCTCATGTTTGATTGTTGTGATTGCAAATTTACTGAAATTTCATGAAAATCACGCGAACCCGACTACAAATAGATCATCTCAATAAATTGATAGGTGAAAGTGATATAACATGCTACAATCAACTTAGGATGGACTGACGATGTTTTTCTATATTGTGCACACTAGTTGAACAGGTTGGCAAGTTCAATCATACAAGGAATATTAGCATTGAAGAGATGGTAGCCATGTTCTTGAGCAATATTAGTTATGACCATAAGAATAGACCAGTAAAATTCAGTTTCATTAGATCCGGTGAGATGGTAAGCAAGTATTTCAATGCAGTGTTGTTGGCGGTTCTTAAGCTACGTTGATTACTGCATGTAGTCTCTGATCCAATCACAGATGAATGCATTGACCATAAGTGGAAGTTTTTTAAGGTATCAGTTAATAATATGTTTATTTCCTATTGTATAGAACTGTGTTGGCCGTTGGGGCTTTAGATGACACTCACATTAGAGGAAAAAGTGTACTTGTGCACCAAGCAAGATATAGGACAAGGAATGGGCAAATTGCAACAAATGTATTAGGTGTATATGCGCCTGACATGAGAATCTTTTATGTTTTGCTTGGTTGGGAGGGATCGGCGGCAGATTCACGAGTCCTTTGCGACGCAATCACAAGACATACTAGGTTATGTGTTCAACGGGGTAAACTATAGTAGAAATTTGTAATGCCTTTTTTATTTTGTGGAAATTATTTACTAATGGGTATATACACACTTACAACAGACACATATTATTTAAGTGATGCTAGATACACCAATGGTGAGGGTTTCTTAGCTCTTTTTAGGGGTCAACAATACCATCTTGACGAATTTGGAAGTGGAAGGGTAGCTGCTCGTAATGTCAAGAAATATTTTAATCTAAAACATTCCTCCGCCAGGAATGTTATTGAGAGGTGTTTTGCTCTCCTCAAGATGCGAGGGACAATCCTTCAAACTGTATGTTTCTACCCTGTCCCCACACATAACATAATTATTACTGCTTGTTATCTGTTACATAATTTCATTAGAAATTAGATGCTAGTTAACCCATTGGAAGACCACATACCTGAGTATGTTCTTAATGAGAATGATGACAATATCAACACCAATGTAGTTGACAGTGTTGAAACCTCTACTGCGTTGACTGCTTGGAGGACTCAGTTGGCAAATGAAATGTACATCGCATGGCAAATGGGTAGATGAACTTGGGGGGAGTTGGTTATTTTGCAACCTTTAATTAGTAGACTAAATGGTGGATATGTTTGTAATGTGTTATTGGTACTTCATCTGGTGGTTTGATTAATGATTGTCCTGAATCTTATGTAATACAATTTATTTGGTTGTGTTATTATGATGTATATTGCACATTTGTTGTATTGTATTTGATTTTACATTGCATATTCACTTTAGACTGATAAATACATATACACACACACACACACACACACACATATATATATATATATATATATATGATATATTGGCAGCTCGTAGAGTATGAGTGGTATTCAAGTGGAAAAAGGTACCAGACGAATATGGACAAGCATAGAAGAGACACAACTATTATATGCACCGAAGGATCTATGTGTAGCAAGGTTGAAGTGTCCTAAACCACATTCAAGCCAAGTTATCTACAAATTCTAGAACAAAGAATTGACAATAGTACGCTTTGTGCACAACCACACATTGAATCAAAGATCAAAATGTGGAAGAGACAGCATAATTGTATACTATCTAAGATGAACACGAGTGACTTTAGGTTTAATGACATCGATAACAAAATAGAGGTTGATTCTGATGATGTTTGAGAGGAGTATTTAAGGATAATTTGGTCTGATATATCACTTTTTAATTAATAGAGGTCTTTTGATATTTTTATTACTCCACTTATTCGAGGCATGTTCTTTCGTGGTATAATTATTGTAGAAAGATAAGCAGGCTAGGGGGATGCGTGAAAAATGTTGTTCATACTATAAAGATTGGGGAATTATTTTTGGCAAGGATCGCACAACATGAGAATTTGCGAAGGAACTTGATGAAATGGTTGAAAGGAATGACAATGAGGATGCAGACCATGAAGTTGACCTGACAAGCATTAACAATGAAAATGAGACCAATGGTGCAAGTCATAGTACGACTCAAGGCATGTATGTTTCCACC